CGCCCCCGTCAAGTACTTCGAGGCCCAAGCGCCTGTAGGCACTCACGGTAGGTGGCGCCATTGCCGCACGCGGCGCCGCCGCTCTCCGAATGCAGGCTGGGGTCCTCGGAAGGGGACAGTGGTGTCTCCGGGTGGGCACCAGGATGGGGCTTGGTGTGACTTTTGCTCTAATCACATCGGAGCCACAAAAGCTCACTCTGTTAAGCCTAGGAAAACAGTTCCACTTTAGAAGCAGGTCGGCAAACTTTTTCTGTAAAGGGCCAGATAGTCCGTGTGGCAGCTACTTGCATCTACTGTCCCCCTCCCGGCAGGACGGCGGACAGACACAGACACAAAAGGGTGTGGCTCTGTTCCAGGGACACCTTACTTCCAAAACCAGGACTCTGCTGCCGGCTCTAGTTTGCCAACCCCTGCTGTAGAAGAAGCCTTAAGAATGAAGGAGACCCGCAGTCTTCCAGCGAGGGAAACTGAGGCCCAGGAGAGGGGCAGTGACTAGCCTGAGGTCCTCAGAGCCTCCGGGCTCTGGAGGAATTAGGATGAGATCTGCGTCCAGCTCCGCAGTCACAGTGCAGACAGACTTGCCCCTGGGAACGGAGGTACTGCTCCAAGGGCTCCCCGGAGCTGGGGGCTCCTCTGTGCCGTCACCTCTGCACCCCCCCCCCCATCCCCGTCCCGGATTCTGCAAGCGCAGAGGCCCGGGTTAGAGGCAGCTCACACTGCACACCGGATGCCGGATGACGTGGGGAGAGGCAGCCGAGGGGAGGGCCTCCGCCGGAGGGGCTGCTCCAGGGCGGGAGAGCCTGCCACAGCCCCGCGCTGGCTCAGGTGGATGAGAGCTTCCTGTCTGCTCCCCCCGCCCCGTCCCCCCTGTCCCCCCACCGGGAGTAAGCACTGCTGTCTGGTGCAGTAATTACAGGGTGCGAGCGGGGCCCACACCGCCCGCATATTGGGTTCAATGACAGCCCCTCACTTAGCAGCAATTACCAGCTGAGCCAGGAGGAGGCCTCCCTCTCCTCCCCCACCCGGCCCACCCAATCGCCTGGCCTCCTGGGCCAGACGGCGTCCGCTCGGGGGCCCGCGAGCCCCAGAAGTACCCATGCTATCTGCAGGCTTTGCATCTCGGGGCTGCAGCGTCGCCATGGCAACTCGGTGCTTGCACAGGTTGAGGGAAGCTGAGGATGTGACTTGTCTCTCTAAAGCTGTGGCGTCTGTCCCCACACAGCCTCCAACTCTGGGGCTTCTGCAGAGGAGGGAGGAAGGAGGGCTGACCTGCGGGTTCAAGTTTTAAGTGCTTACATGCCCACCGTCTCTCCCCGGGGCCTGCGGTGGAAGGAAGGCTAATGCCCCTAATATATGAGGATGTCTGCAGTCGGGGTCGTGGCGGGGGGAGGAGAAGCAGCCGGGTTCGCCTGTGGGGGAGACCCGAGACAGGAGCTGGACCTGAAATGCGTTCATCTTCATTCTGGCACCCTTCTCTGCCTGGGCTTGGGGGGCCACCCCCGTCTGGTTCTGCTCCTTGCTGCTGAGAAAAACCTGAAAATCCCAGTGGCTGGAGAGTGGAGTCCCTTGTCACCAAGAGAATTGTCTCCGTGGTACTTGCCACAGCTTTCTGCACCATGCAGTAACGTTGGACTGAGAGGGGTCCCCAATTTGCAATTCAGAGCACAGGGTGGGGACTCCCAGGTGATCCATTTGGGTCGACCGCCCTCAGTGAGCGTTGGCCACAGGCCGGACGCTGTGCTGGACTTGGGTTAGCACATTCACTGGGCACCCTAGGCCTCTCACAGAGAGGTTATTTGTCCCCAACAACCCAGGGAAGTAGGGGTGGATTGTACCTATTTCAGAGCTGTGGAAACGAAGCTCATGGAGGTTAAGCAGCACCGTGACGGAGAGCAGCCTGGGACCCCACCAGACTTGGAGTTACCTCTCCTCTCGGCCCTGTGATGAGGCACGTGCCTTGGGCACATTGCTGGTCCCCTCTGGGTCTGTCTCCCTGTCTGTAAAGAAGGAATAATAATAACCCATATCTCTTAACGAAGCGATTGAGTAGATGAAATAGACTCATCTGTGTCAAACCGCACAACGCCGGGCACACGCTAGGGGCTGCGCAGCAGACGTCAGCGGCCAGGGTGTCACATCACTTGCCAGGTGACAAAGCCAGGGAGAGGCACAAACACGGGGGCCCCGGCCCTGCAAAGGCACCATCCTGCCTACCATGCCCGGCACAGCAGAGACATTTAATAGATATTTGTTCTGTGAAGGAGTTCCCAATAGTGGAAACTAAAGGGGATTTTCCAGGTTCCAGGGACCTCGGCCTAACTTCTAAATGAGTCCCCCCCCTGCCCCCACCCCAACCAGCACCACCCATTCCTGCCGTCCTCCAGCCTCCCAGCCATCCCCTTGAGCCTTCACCCCTAACCACACAGCCCCGACATCAGCCAGGCCCCTTTGCCCCTGCTTTGTAGCAGCCAATTAGCTTGACTTCTGTTCCCATGGTTATTTACAGCTTCGTTGGCAACTAGTGCATTTCCCAGAAACAGGCCCACAGCTCTGGTCCCGCTGGCATCCTGCTGGCAGGACTGTCCCTTTCTCCTGGGTGTCTGATGAGAACTCTCCTGCTGGGACAACAGAGGGACAGAGCAGAGAACTGAGAGAAAATGCCCTAAGATGTATTGAAAAACTGGTTCTGGAGTATCTATCATGTGCCCTGGCCAGTGAGAGCTGCTAGAGATACCGAAGTCATTAAGACACGCTTGCTGTCCTCAATGAACTTCCGCAGGGCTTTTTAATCCACTGGGTTCCCTGGGAAGTAGACGCAGGGTGGGAGATCGGGCTGGAGGACCTTGTTTAGCAAGTGCTCTTGGGAAAAACACCTGCGGAAGGGAGGGAAAGGATGCAAGTTTGGGCAGGGGAGAAGTCCAGCTTTGAGGTAGTCCCAACAGAGAGCTCTGGAGAGGGGATAACCCTTCAGATTTATCCCACGTTGGGATAACCCTTTGCACTTCCACATTGATCTGTCACTCGAAGTGAGCCTACCCTGGATGAAGGCATGACTTTGGGTCAGGCAGTTGCCTTCTGATTAAGACAATCTCCAAAGAGGGCTGAGAGTTGAAGGCCATCTTCCAGCCAAGATCCCAGTGGCTGCGGGAAATCAATCTTTCAATCCCAGAGGGGTTCTGAGCAGCCCTTCACAGCATCCACCACTCCTGGGGTCCACAGCCTGACTTCAGAGATGACCAGAAATCTTTGAAGAGGGAAGCAACATGGCATGTATGTGCATACGTGCATTTTTCTAGGGGAGAGTCCTTGACCCCCAAAAGATTAAGAACCACTAGTCTGGGGAAAGCCAAGCTTATCCAAAACTTCAAAACAACGTGATCAGAGATGCAAACTATAAGTACTTAATAAATATGAATGAGTGGATGGATGGATGGATGGTTGGGTGGATGATGATGGATGGGTGGGTGGATGGATGGATGAATGGATGGATGATGGATGGATAATGGATGGGTGGCTGGTTGGATAGATGGATGGATGATGGATGGGTGGATGGATGAATGAATGGATGGATGGATGATGGATGGATGGATGGATGGATAATGGATGGATAGATGGATGGATGAATGGATGGATGATGGACGAATGGATGGACGATGGACGGATGGATGGATGATGGACGGATGGATGGATGGATGGATGGATGGATGGATGGGAGGGTGGATGGATGCCATAACAGAAGAATGTATGGGAGGGACAGAAAGGGGAGCAACCAATTTTGCCTGGTGCAGGAGAAGAGCAAAAATTCTGAGGAGGAGCCGACCCTTTTGAACAGAGTCTTGAAGACTAAATAGGAGTTGCCAAGCAGACAAAAGGAGAAAGGCATACAAGGCAGGGGGAAGAGCAGATGAAAAGACACAGAGGTATGAGTGATTTCTTTCCCTCTTGCAGTCCACCCCTAGGAGGTCCGTGTTATTAGCCACCCCACTTTCCAGATGAGAAACAGGCTCCGAGAGGCCAGGTGACTTGCCCAAGGTCATTCACCTTGCTCCCCATCATAGCAAGAAGCCAAACCCCTGGGACTCACACCTCCCAGGGCCCGCCATCCACTGGGTGGCCCTCTGGTTGGGATGCCAGCCGTCTCGCTACCCTGCTGGGACTAGACCCCTCAGGCTAGTGGCGTCAAGAATGGCCCAGGGCTGGTGGTGGGCAGCCTCCCACTGGCGATATTTTGCTCCAGGAGGAATCCGCCACTGATCCAAAGCCTCCTGTCCTGTTCCAGGGCTGCCCCATGAATTAAACATGCCCCCGTGGTTAACTCAGTAATGCTTTTATTAATAGTTAATTACTCAGCGCGCACTGGGGAAATGAGAGTCGCTCAGGCCTCATAAATTAAGGCAGTGATCTTGTGAAGGAAGCCAATAGGAGTTCATTACCCGGCCCCTCCCGCCTCCGCCCCTCCAGGCTTGCCACTTAGCGATGCTAAACGGGCTGAGCAGGCTGTGGGGGGACAGGCCTTCTGCAGGGTGGAGGCGCAGGGGGCTCTCCCCCTCCCCTGGTGTCCGAGGAGGGACCAGCCGCGGGGCTGAGGTGTCTGCCAGGAGACAGCACCTTGTCCTGGGCCTGTGGCCCCGTCAC